TTCATCACCTTAAACGAAATAGGGTGAATACATCTCATATTACTGATTTATTGGTAGTCTCGAAACTCTAATTACATATGAAAAGTGAAAGATCATTAATTGAAATATTGCGGTTGCAAGTCAAAATAACATTGAACTCTGTTATATTATAGCAATATAATAGTAAGTCCCATTAGAAAAGAAACTTTAGTAAGCATATAAAAATATCATGGGAACAAAATAGACAGATTGAGGACGTACTTTCAATTTTTATGTTTGAATGATTATGAATATCATCGCAAAGCGCGATATCCTCTGGCAGGACCGGCAACTGGGTGACGCTGGACTTTAAATCGACTGTTTTTTCAGCATTGTAGGAACTCAGGGCTTCAGGGGTTTGCTCGGCAGAGAGACGAAGGAATGGTGGGGCCGGGTTTAGCTGAACTAGATGTGAGGCACAAACTTGAAGAAGCGGCAACGATGGATTGGGGCAAGGTTTCTCCCAAGTGGTCACAGTGGGGTCACGGTACTTGCATTGTTGTGATTGACTAGCCCCGCCAGCACGTTTGCGCCAGGCTGCCAAGTTGGTGCTGACTATAGCGAACTTTGACACACAAGCTAAGTGACGCTGATTGTCTACCTGAAGGCAAATAAACAAGATAAGGGGGGAAAATTAGCCATTGCACAGAAAATGTTTGTGCATTAGAGAGTTTAAGTAGTAATATTATGAGTGGTCTGACTTCGTTTTCGCAACTTGATCGTGTTGATAGGAAGACTTCTCGGACAAACCTTGTCCGAGCACCTGTACAATACTAATTATGAAGATCCCCAGCGTCGGAACGTGGACTTGGCATATTCCAAGACGCTTCACCGGTATTGCCAGCGAGTCTTGCCAATATTAGCACCAAGCTATAACTCATCAGAGACAAATGAAATTAATATGAGCTGCATTCAACTTATTTCGATTAAGGTGATAAAGGACTGGGAGTAGAATTTTCCCACAGTGATATGAGTAGAGCAGACGTTTCCATTGAATTTGACGTAGCCTTGCTTTCCCGAAAGTTGTTCTTATCCAGGATGGACTGCAGTTTTGACCCCGCATTGATCCTATCAATACCCCCAGCGGGAGTCGAACTGTGAAAGTGCAGAATGTTAGCTTGAGACGTTAACGACTCGGCCACATTGTCACGAGTGTCCTTGGGTCACAGGGCAGATGTGAATTTGAAGGAATACCAGACCCTTTCCCATATCAAATTCTTTGGTGGAATCGTCGATCAAGCAAATGTATTTTTGCTAAAACATAACTGTTCGGCATAAAATTAGTCAGGAGATTGACTTCACTTGTCTCTTTGACGAGTTGTAGCTTAGTGCTGAGACTGGCAAGAATCACAAGATGCCAATACAACATGTGGGAATGTAATAAGTAGATGCTAGGAATTATCATAAATACTATAACAGAGGACCTGGGATAAGATGCCTCCAGCCTAGTTGTCCGGACAACATAACCAAGTTGCGAAAATTAGGTCAGACCACTCGTATGCATTAAAAGGAGACTCCTACTAAAATAGAGGCCACAACATCTTGATACTCAGCTAGAATATTTTAAAATGCCTTATGTAATCGGCTTTATAATGCTCAGCTTATACATTATAGATAAAGTAGAAGACGAGTGTATAGGTCAAGCGGACTAAGGTTAGATCAAGAAAAATGGATAGACTTAAATCCACGATAATGCATCAATACATATAACTTGTTCGACCTTGTTTTCAAAACTTGGTCATATTGGCATAAAAACATAGATAAACGCAACTTGTCCGAAGTCCATAGTATGCATGCTAATTTTCAGAGTCGGACCATGGACTTGGTACATTCCCAGACGTTTCGCCGACATCGTAGTCGGCATCGTCAGTGAGTCTTGCCATTCTTACATCACACTACAACTCGTCAAAAAGATAAGTTAAGTCGATCCTTTGACCAAATGTCTTCTAAACAGTTGCGGTATCTCTCCTTCTGTTCTGAGCTATTCACCTATACTATCACCTCTTCAATATCACAATTTCTTACTTGTTTATCTAAACTTATTTTAAACCTATTCATACTCACCGCTTGTTTCCATATCCACTGTGCCGACAGTGTCGATCCCAGGCTGCGGTCCTATCAGAGTCCATCTATTGTTCCGTAGGATCTTTCCCTTGTCTGCCTGTTCCAATTATTTCACGCCATCGCTGCCACTGTGTTCGTGCTATTCAAGGCGTTGTACTCCACTCTGCTTCAAACCTTTGATAGCATGTATACACTAGCCTTACTTAGCAAGACCCTAAAGTCTGGATTTTCATTTGGCAACCTAACTTGACGCTGCAGATTCCCTTATCGCAGAGGGTTCGGGATCTGATAAATAAGAGGTATGACAAGAAATCGCTTAGCTATAGGATAATAAGTCGGAGCAAGACCAAGCCAACTCGGACAAATTTTGATGGTTCTTTAGGAATAGAGACAGGATAGACGAGGATGCGATTGGAGCTAGTTGGCTGACAGTAGGCTTCACAAGAGACATGGTCCATGTGGCAAAGGCGTGACCATT